CTTTTAAATATTTATTTATTTATTATTTTTTTTTTTTCGTAAGTTGTGTTTTACGTAATTGGTAATTGTGAAAAATAAAAATACTACTTATATTATAACTTATACTAATGTTGTAAAATAATTATCACTATAATAGCTGTGTACAATAATATATAATACAATATTATTACCATATATAGATTATAGATGTAATTTTATTTTTATCATTGTTATGATTATTATGACTATTAATACTTTAGAGTTAAAATACTAAAAAATATTAAGTTTCAGCGCATTTAATAAATAATATTTAGATCTATTGATCGTATATTCCCATCTCTACATTTAAATATTTAAAAATTTACATTATAATGTACGAATTTAATGTCTATTGTATATAGTTACAAGATACTTATACGTATTTATAATTAATAAAATTACTTTATGAATATTCATAGAGTAATTTAACAGCATTAATGGAATTAGTCGACAAAGTTATCCAAAATACAAGAAAAAAAAATGTTTTTATTTTATTTTTCATAACAACATAGCTTGCAATTGTGTGTTATATTTTATATATCAAAGCTTTTTCCGTATATTTAACCACTCTTTTACTACTAATCAATCGTAATTATTTGATAAAAAGTTGATAAATATATTTTAAATAATTAATTTTCTATTTGACATTATATTGAGAATACAACTATAATTTCAATATCAATTGCAACTCAAAATATTATACTAAACATTAAAATATTAAAATATCTACCATATTTATTTTATTTTAACTGTTTTAATTATCGTGTCAAATTTTCATAAGTTACTCAAAACTTTGAGTTCTTGTAAAACAACTGCCTGTTCCTGTTTCTCTGTGTATCATCATAACACGCGCCGCAATCACGAATTATACCTTTTTTCAACCCTATCCAATTCACTCTTACCCCATCCACGCTCTCTATACCATGTTTTCAGCCATATTTATCGTTATTATTTCGGTTATCCTCGAGCAAAGTCTCTTCCCACCCCTGTCCACTCATCCGTTATTTTTTCGATTACAGGTGCGGCTGTATATGATGCATATATATATTTATATAATGTATAAATTTATGCATAAAAATATAAAATACATATACGCGCATATATATATATATATCATATATAGGTATATAATATATATAAATTATATATTATTGTATATAAAATATAAAATATAAACGTCAACGACCAACAACAACGATTGTTATCACGGTTCGCCGCTATTTTTACCCGGCCGTCGGCATAGCCTTTACACTGCCGCTTTCTCAAGCTCTGCACTACTATACCCTCCCGCGAGACCCGCCAACTATAAAACCGTTACCCCTTCGTCACACCAACACACTCCTTACGCATATATACTACTATTATTATCGTAATCGCCGTCGTCGTCATCTCCACAAACTCACACATACACACACACACACACGAGCGAGCACTCACATGTATGTATATGTATATATATACATACATATATCGTATAATATACCTATATGTTTGAACACCTTTTTTCCAATTCTACCCCTAACCTACGACATCGCACCAAAGAAAAACGAGACAATGTCAAATCACACACGCATTACCTGCAGAGCGGCACAAAGTCGTCGTGGTCGAGATACGTGGGGGGTAAGTGGTACGGGGTGCTTTAGGAGCAATACTACTCTCACCCATAGTTACCCTATTATCGCTGTACCGCCACCGCCGCGTATATGTAAAATACGAGTAGTTTTGTACTATTTATTTTACGCTGCCTCCACTATTGCTCGGTAACGCTTTTTTTTCTACTCTCACCGGAGGTAATGTCCAATTTAAATACGACAGCGCGCCGCCCGCCCACTGTTTTTCACCAACCAACGTTATTTATTGCTTTTTCTATAGGCTATTTTGCCCAGTAAGCGAGAGGCGCGCCACACACGCAGTGTAGGTACGTATACTTCGTTGTCGTCGTTGTCGTATAGTCACATAGTTCGCCACCACCCTTCGTCATCGCATATCGGGCCTAAAATAACAATTTGATCAAAGTGATCGCAAGTGTGGCGGCGGGTGCTAAATCGTTTACGCTACAGCAACGATATCGACCACACACGCACCTATACGTGTATGTATGTATATATTATATATGTGTGCGTTTTCGACGACGTGTCCATTTTCTTTCATTTTCGTTGTCACTATCGCCCTACGTGACGTTCACCCGAGATTAATAATAATAATAACAACTTCGCCTTAATTTTAACAAAATAATGAGATCGTTGTCATCTGCGACCGTAATAATCATAATAGAGTTATCATTAATATTTGTACTCACACACACAACTCGTTGACGAGAATCGAATTATTAAAATATGTTTGTGGGGCGAGGTGAGCAGCTACCAGATGATAATAATATTATTATGTATTATTATTGTTATTACTATTATGCAACCCACCTCCGCACGATGTACAATATTATATACGCACTGGTGACGTACAATGACAAATGATTACGCACACACAGTATTTTATAATATATTCGTAATTTTCATTATATTAATGATAATTATATTTTCGTTCCGAAGATGCGGTGATGGTAATATAATTTGACTGATTTGTAAGGTTGGGCATCCTCGCAGCATATTTTAAGTCCTAATTAAAATAAATATAATATTATGTAAAACGCAACGAAAGTACCTATTCCACTTGTCCACGTATATAAATATGTACAATATATATTTATTCATACATATTTTTGTGTATGACAACATTGTTAAGACAACTATTCATTACATGCTATTATAATCTATATATTTTGTAACTGCGAATGTCCACAGTTGGCTGATAACGAGTACTTAAAGTTGCCAGTAAATTTTGATATACACCGAAATCATTTGTGAGTCTTGACATGCTGTTTAATTTCGTTATACTTAAGTATTCACTAGTAAATATCATTTATAGTGGTATATTTCAGGTGAATTTAGTAGTATTAATCTCGGAATTACAGAAAAATTGCAATACAATACTCTACCCACTATACAATATTAGCTTATTCTACTAGTTGATCATTTTTATAAACTGTATTATCTTACTTAACAACTTATGTTATACTCTGAGTCTCAATAATATTTATAAATTAGCTATCGTTAACAAATACAATTTAATGAAAATCGATAGAATTTTAATCGATTGTAAAATATCATTGAGACAAGATTTTAAATAGTTTTAAGTAAAATAAAATAGTGAACAAGAATATAAATTATGAATGCAATAAAATCGTAAAACGAGTAGTGTACCACAAACATTTTAGTGGTTAAGTACTGACATATTATGCAACTCAAAAAGTAGAGAAAATTTTTTCTGTTACAATAAATAAAATGAATTATAATATCAGTCTTGTCAATTTTTAAATTATACTTTCTATACAAATATATTATGAGTTAACTATCTAATAATAATAGTTAAATTATTCAATTAATCATATTGTATTTAATATATATATACTTAAAATACATTTCAAGGCATCTTTTTGTGAATTAGAATTTAATAATTACCTTTTATATTGTTAAAAGTAATCTAACGAGTAACTTTAAAGAGGAGTTCTCACTGCTTTTCTGAAAGATATTAAATCTCATCGCATCCAGTTGGTGTCCCCAATAACTCTATCGAATATTTATTTATTGGTTTTCGTATAAATAATATTAATAATATCGTTTATATATCTCCCTGAAGTTTTCTTCTTTCTATAAATCACATATAGAAATTGTTGAATCTTTAATTCTCATGTAGATATTCCAATCATATATATATTATTTTTTAAATGTCAGCGATCTCATTTATGCACACAAATTTCTAGTAGAAGTAAATTCCAGATTTTAGGTTGATCTTTTAGATTACTTATATTAATTACTCTGCATCAACTAACTAGGGCTGTAACCTTCGCATACACCGAATAACGCGCTTAGCAAATGAGAACCAATTTAACCTATAATTTTCTTTTCATATATATTTTAAAGAGTTATATATAATATAATATAATATAATATTATTTTATGTTAATTTATTTGCTTTTTTACCAACTATACGAGTACCTTGGGTAGTCACTCATAATCTATCTAAAATAAAAATAAATATATATCATTAATATCAACAACGTTAACATTAATCAAAATTATTTTGTAAACGTCGATATTCACTGGTGACTGTCAATATGCACCAAACTGAGGAAATACACAGTAACATATTTTAATATATATATATAAACATCATAACTAATTTGTAACGCATAATAAAATTTAATATATTTCTATTATAAATTTAGAAAACAAATATTTTTTTCTACACATTTGATATATGTTGTCGTTTCTTACAGCTTGTACGATTTTCTCATTTAAACAATATCATCAGTTATATTAATATAATATTATGTATCCTAATTTTTATTTCATTAATTTACCTATAATTTTTTAAGTATCTATATTCTATATTGTTGAAAAATAAAAATGTTACTCCAACACATTTAGTGTCCTATGCATCATACCTACTATTTTATTGTATCTTTATATATATATATATATATTTATGTATAGGTACTTATATTACATAATGGTTATACTCTATATTAGTAGTAACTCGAGTTTATGTAAACCTTTTCAATGGAGACTTTATATGCCGTATGGTCGTTTCAAATAATAAAATGCCTGTCAGTAGTTAAGAAAAAAAATTTCCTTATTGAAACGTGCAACAGCCGGTTCGATTATCAAACATACTGCAAAAATGTCGTTTTTCACATTTAATACACAATACAATACCTAGCTACCTATGTATATAATAATATACGACCATAGCTATGTAGTGTCTAGTACGCTTATATATTTAGTTTTATTATTTCGATATAAACTTTATAAAAAAAAAACTCTTTCTAACCGTAAGAAAAATTTATAATTTCATTATAAATATCATAAAAATTATATATATAATCTTTATTACATTATTTCATATACTCGTTTATATTACAGTAAGTACGGTAACAGTGACTGCCGTTCGTGGTTCGATAGCTTGGCTGCCGTGTGACATAGATGGTGGTAATAATGACGGTTTGCCAAAACAACCTACGAGAGTCACGTCGATCGTTGGCGGAGAAGGGAAAACTAAAGACTTGACCAACACGATCGAAGACCGAGCGTACATGGTATTGTGGTTCAAACACCATTCGATGACAATTCGTCACCGGAATAGTAAATCAAAAAATAAAAAAATATGGTCCGGAGGAAAACCTTTGTACAGGTAATATAACAGCTGGTTCATAAATAAAATATATTAGAAAAAAATTTGAAAAGTTTAAATAATACTTGAAAAAATAGTGAATTTTATTTAATTCAAGCTATAGTCTTATTAAAATAAGAGTTAATTTCATTTTAATGAATTCTACCGAATCTTCGAAGTCTCTTTTGTACGAACATTTCGAAAGCGTTTGTATGATTCTATACTATTCAGGATTTAAAACCTGTGTTGTTGTATTTAATACAGTCTACAGTAGTTCTTAAGCTGTAGGTCACAGACGTTGTTAGAAGTCGTGCCTATAAGGTTGTAATTAATTAATATTTTCTAATGCATTTTGATACTATTCAGAATCAACGGTCATATAAAGTTTAAAATCAAGTATTTTATACTACTACTGTTTAATCACCTTTATTTTCAATTCATAAAAGATATTGCACTCGTTAGAATAAAATGTTGAAAATTTAAATTTGACTTATTGCAGTTTTCTCACAAAAAAAAATGTGTGGATGTAATCTTATGGTCCTAGTAATAAATTTAAGATCGACACGATCTAAATTCAAAGTCACCATTTCACAAAAGTAAACTTATAAAAAATTATACTATAAATAGTTATATTAAAATATTTTATGTGGATCATTACAATTTTTTCAAAAATTAATCAAACTATAAATTAGAATAATTTAAAAATAAAATAAAAACCTGTATATATCAAGCAAATTTCAATTTATTTTAAAAACGCCAAATTTAAGACAACAAGTTACGATTTTTCCTCTTTGTGTGCTACTCTAAAAACATTTCACATTATGACATTAACACTACAAAAAACATTTATCGTGATTGCACATGAATATCACGATATTTATATCGTGTTGTAAAATATTAATTTAACTTAAAATATAAAATAATCATTTCAATAATCAATAATATGATAAAATTCTTATGAATCTTAAATTTTTTATCAGTTTTCATGTTGCACAAGTCATGTATACAAAGTATTATGTATAATATAATTTCATTAACACAGAAAACAGTTGATACAGAACATATTCGAGACGGTTTCTTTAGTCGAAATAAAAATAAAACATCATCATCAATTACTCAAAGAAGAAATCCCTTGCGTATAATAAATAATCTCCCTATAAACGTTTTACTCTCCGACCACTAATTAAAATGTTTAATTAACCTAACCTCGGTTATAGTTTCGACGTGCGTGGAAGACCGTTAGCTCACGCATTGAAATGGTCTTCGGACGAAGAGAGCGGAGGATTTGGGCCCAGGGCGTCGTTTCTGGTGTTTGGTGGTAATAGCGGCATTGGACGGGGAAAATGGTCAAAACAGCATACTTTACTGTTGGACGATTACAACAGCAACCTATATGACAACAGTAGCAGAGCAGTACTCAAAGTCACCAACGTGACTGAACAGGATGCCGGAGCTTACAGGTGCCGAGTAGATTTCCGCGATTCACCTACGCGAAACTACCGGATAATCCTGAGGGTCATAGGTTAGTAGAATATATTTTATGCATACACATTACACATATTATTATAAATTTGCGCATGTTAGGTTAGGTTAGCCTTTTAAGTGTTTCCGTCCTATATTGTTTCTGAACAAAAGTTTATCCAAAACACAATTTCACTTTACTTCAAATTTCACGATGATAATGTATAATATTATTATATATTACCACAATAGTCGATCAATAAGAAGATTATTTAAAATGATAATTTATATAAATTATAATTATCAATTAATTCAATGTAATTTATGCAAAATCATATTAAACAATTCATAATAATTAAATTAAACAATATGCAATTTACAAATCTGAATTAATAGTAGTAATATTATTAATAATAATTTAAAAGGAAAAACGAGATATTTCATTTTCTAAATATAAACTTATAGTTTTTCATATTTTTCATATTTTATTTTTGTAATATATCTAAATAGTTTAGAAAGAACATAATTATTTTAACATAAGACACTTCTTATTTTATTAGTATAACTTTTGTGCTACCTATATTATAAAAAAAAAATTATATTCTTTATAAATGATTTTAAGATCCATTGCATTTAAGAGAAGTGTTAATCTGATGTATTTTAGGGTCCAGTGCAAAATTTTATGGGACCCTATATTATTTTATAAATTAATTGAAATTTGTTTAATATTTATGTTACTGTTTGAAAAAAATATGTACATGACTTTCTTTGGCAAAGTTAATAGATAAATATAAGGTAAATGTAACCAAAACTCTTTAAATATTTCGAGGTATTAATTTTAATCTATTAGAAGCCAAAAATATTATTAAAAAATAATAATAAATAATAACTAACATTATTTTAAAAATTGCTAAAAACGTTTTCACTATTTTTTTTGTTTACTGAAAATTTATTAATTGTTTCATCATAGATAACTTAATATTAATATGTTTGATACTGATAAAGGCCAGGTCAGATAACTTGTGCTGGCTTAAATGATTCTTAAATATTTTTTTTTATCAATTTTAGTTTTGAAAATGTAAGCTTGGCGTCAAACACTACTAACTGATGTCACTGAACATTATTTTGTTTGTTATAGATATATTGGGAAATGAGTTTGTAGAGATGTTGCACTGCATTTTATTATTTTTCTAAAAATTTATAGTTCAGTGAATATACTCTCAAATCATATCTCTAAAATAACATTCACTTAATATTTTTTACAGATCATGAAAAAAATATTTCACAAATAATGATTTATATTATTTTATTTCGTAAATATTATACATTAGACTATTATGAATCGCAATTTTTGTGTTAGGAAAATCTTGTTAAAATATATTTAATTATTTTTTAATGTAAAACATGATTAAACAGTCTGCAGGATCCAATGTAAGACCCTTCTCCATAAATTCGATACTGTTTAAGTATTTATTATAAAATACATTTACTCATTTTTCTGGTATTCTTAGTTATAATATTATATATACTTATATGATTTAATCATAAAAATGTTATCTCGAATTATATTAATTGAAGCAGAACGTTGATGTACAAATTTCTGTTATTCATTTAATACTCAATAGATTATTGTTTATAAGTATATATATTTTAGAAGAGAAGACTGAGAGGAATAGTGCACAGTAACCAATAAGCTATACAATATTCTTTGCTTCTACACTTCTCTTACCTAAACTTCAAATGTATTTAAAATATTATAAAATAATAAACTATTGATCTAGTAGTCGATATAGTATACTTACTGTATATGTTATAAAAATATTTAGAAAAATATATATGCATAATAATACATTATAATATCAACGGACTTAAAATAAAAGAATATTAAGATTAAGGATATAATTTATTTTAACACATTATATGTTTATAACATTAATTAAAATTACCTACTTATATCTATTTAATTAATAAATGAACACCGACATCATGCTATTACACCTATATCGAACAACTGTATAATAATTTTTAAATTATTCTTATAATTCAGAACTCTACGACTAATTATTTTTAATTGTATAATTTTGGTTTATGTATATAGTACCACCCGATAAAATGACAATCACTTATAACGGAGTAGAAACAGAAATCGACGATGGATTATATCACACCATTGGTCCAGTACCAGAAGGTGGCCGATTGGTATTGGAATGTCGAGTTCGAGGAGGTGAGCATTAAATGTTATTTTTATATAATGAAAGGCACTTCTTTTAAATACTTGGATGATTACAGCAATGATATTGTACAAAAATAGTATCGAGTATTGAATGACTATTTTAAAAATAATTAACAAGTAGTATAAACAAGTTTCAAGTCTAATCTGGCCAATGAATGCTTTGTCTAGCAAAGATACAATATTGAATATTCAAAAATTTAATGCATATAGCCATGATATTAAAAACAATTATTACAGAATGGTATAATAGCTACCCATATCTAATATTCTCAACTTCCCACAAAAACTTAATTTTAATACAATAAATAATAATCCCAATAACCATACGTTTAGTTGTTTTTGTATCAACTAATATTTATGTGTTATCGAAACTATAGTTCAAAAATTGTTAATTAAATAATGGATAGATGAAATTTGGCAATAAAAACTAAGGAGAGATGAAAAATCACACCTGGTTTTAATATTATGTAATAGTATATATTTGTTAACTTAAGCTATTGTAACAATATTTTTATAGATAAATATAATAATAAAAATAATCAAATTTAATTATATTTGCAAATTAACGTATATTTTTGAAGACTATGTACCTGATGGTTGATGTGACGATAGACGTTGATGCGTGAAGAACCATTCCCGTATTATTTACTTCTATTACATATTATAATATTCGACATTATTTTAAGAATACGATTTTTTGATGAATTATGACGTAAAAAATTGTTAATGTTCTGATTTATACACGAATTATAATTGTACACTCTTGGTTCGTTTACGATGTTTACGTCGATAATATACTTGTATTTTACCTCCTTACCCATCCCGTCCGCAAATGAGAAATCGTTGTATTTATTACATTTAAATAAGTATGTTGTAGTGTTATATTATAGTTAGTACACTATGAGTATTCTATAGATTACGTGACAGTTTAATGACGGAACATATTATAAGCTCGGTTTCTATACGCTTTAATGTCGATTCATTGAATGTGTAATATATAAACATTAAACATATAACGCATACATATTTAAGTAATCCAAATAATGATTTATTTACTTTATCCAATTTCATTTGTACGGATAAGCGTTCCGATATCTACACAAGCGCTTAAACGTACACCTCTTATAATGTACTCAGAAATCAAAGTCAACGAAAATGTGCATTTGTTCTTTCCCCCCTCCCACCACATAACACAATCATCTATATAGTAGCAAACTGACGTGTGTTGTACAGGGAAACCCAAACCACGGGTGCAGTGGTACTCGGCGGATGGCAAAGTCACCTCATCGCTCAGTACGGGAACAATAATAGATTCTGCAAAGGAAGTATCTTACGGAAACAAAAACGACGATGAAGAAATAACTACCAAAAGTCTCGTTATTCATCAACTGAATCGAAGTCATGCTAATAGCACATTTACATGTTTGGCTGGAAATGATGACAACAACATGCAATCAAATCTCCGAATGACAGTGCTGATAAACATGTACTGTAAGTATTTTATAGCCGACCAACAGTTGGTAAATAAAATAGTTACAATTACAATTAAACCACAAAATGTATTTATAATATATAAAATATACTTAATTATATAGAACTTATTCTTAAAGTTTAAAATATTACATTGAAAAAAAATACTTTTGAATGGTGTCAAATTAGACAATTAACGATTTTTCTTTTATACATATAATTTTAAAGTATTTACTTATAAATTAAATACATTACATGTTTGCAAAATACATTTTTTTATAAGTATTATATTATTAAACTACAGTCCTGGTTATAAATTTGAACTTAGAAACTTTCCTCGTAAGTAGGTAAACAATTTACTTTATACCTACTATGTTATAAACATAATTTCACATTTCTAGTTTAGCACTAAGTTAACATTTTTAGTATATTTCTGTTTTTAATACATTTTAATAATACTTTTAAAAATATTTTAAAAAAATTTTTTAATACTTTTAAAAATAAAAAAATTATAAAAAATTGTAAATTTTTATGTAAAATCATTTTTAACAAAAACGGTTTTATCTTTTATTGTAACTCGAAAATAAATAAATGTATTACTGATATTTGAATTTTTTAGCAAATATGAATATCAATATTTACTAGAATTATTAATAGTTATATTTTTATGTTATTTTTTTTTTAACTACAGTGAATGTGAAAAGTGTACGTATTGTTGGCATACATCCAATAGGCGAATCAGAGAACATGGTCAATTATAACGAAGACAATAATAATGACGGAGTTGTACAAGCAACAAATCTTATATCTGGTAAGTGGTATACGGGCGAATGTTGGGCCGAGGGCGCAAGTCCTAAAGCTGTGATAGAATGGTCTATTGATGGAAACGGTACATTAGCTGACGAAATACCCTCTTCTCCGACAACGACTCGTATAACAGTAATGAAAGTGAGCAATTATTACTAAATATCACATAAAGTTGTATATTTAATTAATTTAGCTATAATATTTTGTATTACATGTTATTTTATTGTTATTATCTTATTGTTTATTTTTATATTAAATTAAATTAAACAAAAATTGGTCTGGATTAATTGTTAATTTTTTTTTTCGTATACATCCATATTTAAAAATTCTTCATCGTCACTATTTTTATTTTATTTATTTCTGTTATTTAGCAAACCGAACATAGCAGTAGAATTCGATTGAGACCAACACCAAGTGACGATGGTCGTTATTTACGATGTCGAGCTTGGAACCCTGATATTAATACTACGAAAGATAATATTAAAAATAAAGCTTTATTACTTAACGTCCAATGTAAGTAAAAACTTATTATATACATTATCGTTGTAGTTTTAGTTGTAATCATCGCAATTGTGTTTTTATTCTAAACCACACAGGCCGTGTGTGAATTTTTTAGAATTCATAAATCACTAACCTATATTGTGTTTGATTAACTTTATATGTTTTTACGTTTCAACTTAAATGCATTAAATATGTATAATATCTATATCAACATTCAGATATGTTTTATTATGATTTATATAAATCAAACCACTTATGGTTCTTTGAAAAATGTTTTCTGTATATTTTTTATTCAACGTATTATGAATCAATATTTAATCTAAAATGTAATAAACCTACTGTAACTTAATTTAAAAACCATATAATAATATATAATTTTCCGATTTAGTTAAACTTAAGACAATAAAGCAATAACTCCTTAGCTGGTCAAAATTTATTCTTGAAATATAAAATAAAATGTTTTTATCTTTATAGTTGACACATATCTGTTAATTACATAGTTAAACATAAAGGTTGAGCAAACCTCATACAAAATAGTCGTAAGTTTAAAAAAAATATATAATAACAATAAACATTCACAGATCCGCCTATAGTTAAATTAAGTTTGGGCCATACATTTGATCCAAGTAGAATCAAAACAGGAGACGATGTGTATTTTGAATGCAAGGTGTTGGATGGCAGCGGGAGCAAAGGAAAACAACGTAATCGCATCGAATGGTACCACAACGTAAGTGTAGTTGGCAACGAATTGCGAAAAGTCTATCAACAATATTTATCACATCTGTAATAATATACTGCAGGGTCACCCAATCTTGCAAAATGGCAGTAGCAATGGAAGCGTCAGCATCGACTCGGAAATCAAAGTCGTTCTTTTAAGCGCTGGAACTTTGGTTATAAGGAACGTGGGACGACGCCATTCCGGCCGGTACACATGTCAATGTAATAACGATCTTGGAATGGGACGGTCACGACCGGTCACCCTCCGCGTTCAATGTAAGTATCTATACAACTCTGAGTATGCGTGATTCGAATAATATTCGACTTAAAAACATTCGAAACTTTCGATTGAGTAAAATTCTATTTGTATTTCGAATATAACACGCCATATTATATACATAATATACGTATGCTTCATACTGTTGATGACTACGTTTACGTTTGATGTTATCCCAAAATTGTATGACATGACTCAACATTTTCCGTGTAAATATTGCATGAGCATGCCATAAGTTTTCAAAATCATACGATGTATAGGTAATGAATATATTTTTATCAAAAACATTGTTATATTTAAAAATAATTTCTATTATGTACCACTTTCGAACTATCTATAACTTTACTCTGTATAATAAGTAATAAATTATGGATACTCGAATACTTGATTTAGGTTTTTATTTATGTGAATAATTTTAAGTACTGATTTAAGGCCTAAAAAATTAATCGTGAATATCAGTGGCGGCTCGTAGATAGGGGCGATGGGGCGATCGTCCCCCTTCTAAAATTATCATTTATTACAAATTTATAAGTTTATTATCAATTTTTAATTTTATATTGTAGTATAATATTATCAAAAATAAAAATTGTGTTTTCTAAAATATTTACATTATTAAGTATTATGAAAACATTATCAGATAATGGGAGTTTAAAAATAAATCATTCAACACTGTAGCTTCTGAAAATCGATAACCGATAACGATTTACCAAGATCCGCTACCAGCGCATGCCATGCTTGGGCGATGTTAAAAGTCGCTCGTCATAACTATGATCGGAATACAAAAACTAAGAAGGGGGAACATAATAATAATACTGCCGCCGGGGTGATGATTTTAATCGCCCGATACACATAGATTCCGAACTTGCGTATATTTATTATTTACTTTGTGCAGTCATAACTCGCAATCAATTATTTCAATTTGATATTTTTTTCCAAAAATATATACTGGAATTATTAAGTTTTTAATCATGGATTCATCCACACATAAAAATGTTATTAAATTAATTTAATTAAATAACCATTATTAATATTATTTGTGTTCGATACCTACTTTCCACAAATAAGCAATTTTATATCGCCTCCCACTTTCAAAGCACACGAGTCGCCACTGGTGAATATACATAGAAAAAAAAACATGCAACTATTTAAAATTAATAAAATATATTATACACTATGTTATATTAGGTGTATCTTATCAAAACAATTACATAATTAATGTGTAAAAAATAATTTAAAACAAATTGATTTAAGTTTCGTATTAATTGATAATTTTGTATACGAAAAAGATCATTTTGTAAAGGTAAAATGCTGAAATTTTTATGTTTTAAATACTATTCACTTTAATTTGAATCTTACAAATTAATTAATGACATTTTAATTTTTAATTTTTGATTTATATAGGATAAATTTAATATATGTATAAGAGATCGAATAATGACGTAGGCACTAATTAGTAACTATTGTCAATTCACCGCAGACGCTCCCGTTTGTGCGGACGACGGCAATCAACTGCAATTGGTGGGAGTGGAAGCCAACGAAAACAACGTACGCATCGTGTGCCGCGTAAGAGCCGACCCGGCCGACGATCGCGTTCAATTCGAGTGGCTCGTGTGGCCGGGCGCAGCGGCCGCGGCCACAGGCGAGCTGCACCAGCAACAGTCACCGAGTGTGGTAGCCACCGGTAGCTACGTCACCACTGCCCTGCCTAACCAGCGAAACGACACGGCCATCGGCGAACTTGTCCTGCCGGCTATGTCTGTCGGTGTCCCGGACGTGGTCCAGTACGCAGATAGAACGTCGCGCGTCAAAAAGCCCATCGTGCTGGACACGGTCAGCTGTCGGGCCACCAATGCCGTCGGCCGTCAGCAAAACCCCTGTTTGTATCACATCATACCGGCATGTAAGTAAACTGACAAAACTAAGCATAATTTCACATGAGCTAATTTTTAAAATTAAAAAACCAAATCAAAATCGTGATTTTGTAGCTTAAAAGTTATTTTTTCTGAAATTTATTTTTTGAATTTCTAAAATCTATATTGTAATAATATTATGCTAGAAGGATTTCATATTTGATTTTGAGAAAATATCCTTTTATTAAAAAAAATTAAAATAATGCTATCTTTTTAAGTTCTGTTTATCTCCTGTTTAGTTCTAGTCATATAATATACACGATATATATATATATGTATAGGTATTAACGGTATAAATGTATAATAGATGATAAACTATCATAATATGTCTCATTTATACTGCAGATGAGCATAATTTAAAATAAATTGATTTTGAAAATTTTTTTAAAGATTTGATTTTAAGAGGTATCAGAAAATCGGAAATTTTTTAAAATAATATGGACTTTGGATTTGATTTTAAAAATACAATTATTTAAAAAATTTACCATGCTCTGAACCCTATCTGATTAATTTACCAATGCCATTGTGTATATAAATATCTAATGTGTTATAACATCATAGGGTTGCCAACTTTTACAATTTCAAAAACTGGGCATAACATAACCTGCTGCATTTCCCTGGTACCATAACGTTCAAATTCCACATTTTTTTTTTTTAATTATTAATTTTATCGTAATTTTACTATAAGAATTTTACTAAAAAAATTTCCAAAGAAAAACGGATTCTAGAGAAGTATTTCCTTATTAACTTTACTAACTTAACTTTTCAAATTTTCTTACCGTTTATTATGCTATACATTTTTGTGTACAAATTTCTAAAATTGGAACCGAGAAGAGTTGTTTGAAAACATTTCATTAAAATATATTAATTCATCAATTCATCGAGTATGCAATTTTTTTTAATAACAATATTATTGTATGAACTTAATTTTGAATACCTTATCTATTTATTGCACTAAAATTAAATTATACAAGTATTATTTAATTCAGCCAAAAAAAAATCTGTACCTATAAATAATAGTTGTTATTTTAATTATATATTTCATATAAAAGTATTTAATATTTTAAAAGCATTTTTTTTTTTAATTTATATCATCTTAATAACATACTAAACAACGATTAGATTATATTGATTATAATATATAACAGCGTCGCTATAACGTACTACTATACTTCAATTAATCTATAGTAATTAAAATATAAGTAAACAATTTTACATAATAGGTTTCTATTTAATGCAAACTCAAAACATGGAAATTCAAAACAAACCAAAAATAAGTATTATTTGAACAACCGAGTATTTTTTGAATCATGGATTTAATTAACAAGCTATTTTACAAATTGTATTTTTATTTTTATTTATTTTATTTTTTAACGAACTGTTAGTGACTTAGAGTACCCTAAAATTTGGGTTACAAATTATTGTATAATTACTAACGAAAAATAGTATGAAATTCGAATGTTATTATAAAAAACGCACTCCCAAATTTCATTTGATCAATAAACCAATATATTAATCATTGTACAGGTTAATTATTTGTACAGTAAAAATGTACAAATAAATCTAATTATCTACACTATTTTAAACAAATAAATAATAATTATTTTACGTTATAAATGCATTAGTCGCGATAAAAAGCAAATCTATCAAAACTGAATTTAATATTTGTATTTGTTTATAATGAATTTCAAGAACAGTTGAGAATCCAAAAAAATATTTTCTAACAAATTATGACCATAATCTTATAACGATTGAGTAATAATTATTATGTTGATTTATACTGTTATGAGTTAATTTTAATTCACTTCATAAGTTTTTCTGTTTCTATATTGTTTTTAAATGCAAAAACAATGTAGGTTCGTTATTCCATTTTATTAAGCAACGTGTAAACCTCTTTTTTATGTTTTTCACTATTTTGCAGGTATTTATTTAAAGTAAAAGAAACCCTTCATATTTAATAATAAACCTAACCCAACATAAATAACTATAACAAAATGCATCAGACTTGTAAATTTACTGCTTTTTTATAATCTTGATGAACAGAGGTTACTTTTTCAAATATTTATCTAAAAATATATACGTACATTTTGGTTTATTTTTCAACGGCTTCGATATTGATTCACTTTCAATTTAACAGTACTCGACATTTTAAAATGTATCAACATATTAAAATAAAAATGAAAAATTTATTTTTCTCCTGAGCACAGATCAAACAGCACACAGCACACAAAGTCACAAACGTCAAATGCAGACTGACAACTGTATTACTTTACCAAATTAGTTCTTGTCGTACCCGTATGTGAACGATAAGAAAAATATATCTTAATATCATATTAATCATCATAAACGCATATAACTATAACGCTCACCAATATTTCATTATGGAAATTTAATTTTGGTAAAGAACGTAGTTAGGTATATAAGAATGAAACTTTAAACACGCTACTTTTCAGCTATAGGAATGAGGAACCAGAAAATATTTCCTATTTATAAGGAATGTGAACGCAAATTTTAGTTCCTTGTATTATAAAAAATAAAAATGAAACCACGTTATTTTTTATGAAAATATTGTTTAAAAATTATTTAATTTTGGTATTACAATCATTTCGTAATTTATTAATAAATTACTAGTATAATACATAAACAATGTTTATATTCTATTAATTAATAATTAATATTAAATAATAAAACAATTGCGAGCGAAATCATAATAACTAAATATAAAAATAACTTCAATTATTAGAGAAAATCATATTAGCATAATTATAATAGTTTTACTTTATCAAAAATTAATAATATAAGTATTCGATTAAAATTTCAAGTCTCTTTGGTAAACGTATTTTTTAATTAAATAAATATACCAAATAAATTTTGTTGAAAATCGGGGTTCCTTAAAAATTCTCGTTTTTCCATCGTTTAGTTTTTAATTGTGTATTTTAACATTTATTTTAATACTGTAAAATGTAAATGATAAAAAGTTAAAAGTTTGCACATTCAAAAATCTATCTATCTCCAATTATCTTTCAGAAAAGGTATTGAATTTAAAAACTATTCTATTGTTCTGATGAAAAAATTTTCTATCTGACAACTGCTCAAAAAAAAAAAAAAAATTAAAAGAAACGAAATTATACTTAACGAAATATACATTAATATAGGCATATGGGCTTTCATGGCTTAACGCTTAGACTCCAAAAACTAGACCCCAAAATGGAATATAGGATTAAGATGTACATCAGTGAACTATTTAAATAATAATTGTAGTGCAGACTACTTTACTTTGAATAATACTCATCTCCCTCACTCTCAAAAAAAAAAAAAAAAACTAAAAAATTTATGAAATTCCTGCTATGATTTAGAGGTACTCTAACTCAAAAACCCTATAAGTTAAACGTCAGTTTACACACACAAAAAAAAAACATTTTAGTTATATTTTAAATTTAAGTTAAGCAAAAAAAAAACTTTATTTTCATAATTATAATAAATATGATTTAATGAATCAGCAATAATTTTGGAAAAATATTAATTAGTATAACAATATTATTAATTGAGTCAAACATGATGGGACACCTTGCTATATGTATGTATGGGTCTATAGTTAATAATTAAATCAACTATCGATGCATAGAATTACAAACCTATATATTTGCTATTAGCATTTCGTTTTTTATAATAGTGAGTTTCGACAAAAGTTAGAATATTTTAATAATTTTAATTACTATCTATAGTCACTACAGCTATAACATTTGATTTTCCGTATACCTTGTTTTTTTAACTAAGTATATTTTTTTATTTAAATAAAATATTACTGTCATAATTTTATTTAATCAACGTAAATTTATAGAAATTATGTAATTATATTATAATATTATTCCATCTAATGTTAAACAGTTTAATAATAATAACATAATTTTAATTTTACAAAGCACCCATCATGATGATAGAAAGTTTTAAAACAAGATGTCAGATATTATGTTATGTTCAACTTATATATCTCATTATTTTTATTTTCGCTTCCGTCTTAAGTTTATTGAATTAAAACAGTTTCTGATGCTACATTTAAAATATATGTTGTAATTAATTATAAAATATAGCATACGTTTTATCTATAGTATTTTTATTTATTTTTTAATGCTCATTATGTATTTTTTACTTTGATGGTTTATTCATATTTCATTTTTATTAAACATTCCACTTCCAAGCATGAAACGAACATTGATCATGTTATTAAAATGTGACAAATAGCTCTTAACCCGTCGTTAGTACACATATAGTTTGTAACATGATTGTTACACTGTGAGCGTGGCGCTCACACTTCACTTTTTATATTATTATTAATTGATCTATTAACTTAAAAAATCAAACCATATCTAGAATTATGTATATTTTTATCCTTCACTAAATAGTATATAAATACTTTTTATGTACATTTCATAATTTATAAAATAAAAATAAAAAACAGTATATACAAAACTGTGTACGTAATCAACTACGGCGGTGGTGATAAAAATATTGTGCGGTTAGTACAGTGGTAGCGCGACACTCACTTAATAGTTAATCGGTACTGTCGACTTTGTATAACGATAACTGATAGGCAATGACAAATAGCGTAATTATTTATTTTTATAAATATTTATAGACATGTTATTTGAAGGTATTTATAGTATCAGATTAATTCAATAATATTTGTAGGAATAACGCTCAAAATTCTATCTGTGTGAGCGGCGCGCTCACATGTGTACCAACGACGGGTTAAATGTGTCTTTTTTATATAATTTATAATAAATATTATCGTTTGCTTGTTTTTTTATGTGTGCATAGCACCTCCGGGTCCATTGACTGGCTGCGCAATACGATTGCCCAAAGATCAAGAACGCCACGTTGGTATCGATAGTAGGCATCACCAACAGCATCATCAACGACCCACGTCACCCATCCAAGACGATGGGGAAGACAAAGACTTGGCAACAATAAGTTGTACTTTAGACAACGATGGTGGAGTTAGGCCAGTGACTTACTCGTTGGAGATTTATGAGAGCAATGAATTGACCACGACATCTTACGGGTTAGTGATAAAATTAAATATTATTAACTTAGATTCGCACGATATGACAGAATGTAACAAAAATAACAAACATATGTAATTAATTGACTACCTTATAACTTTTGTTTATAAATTAATGATTTAATTACTCTTTTTGAGTATCATATCGATAATAAAATACATAGGATAATTAAATTAAAATATAGATATATATCAGTTTACATAATAAATTGTATACTGATATTGTTAGTTAATTGCATCTGTCAGTATTATTTCTGTTACACCCTGTATACACATGTTACGGTTGAAATAGGACAGCCGATCAAATGGCAAGTTCCATTAGTGTTAAAGGGTTAATCAAATCCATGAAAATTAAAATATTACATAACAGCAATAAGCGGTTGTTTGTTCTGACCGATCGTCGTCCTACCGCTATTCCATGAGCATTGCCGATGAATATTATTCGCGTAGTGTGAGTAATATAATATAAATCGTGTAGTCAAATATTGACATTGTTTCAGCTTTTTTCTGCATGTGTACAAATGCTTAAAAGGCCAAACATACCTACTAGCCACCAAGTTAATACTTAAAAAAAAATTAACATGATTAACTTTTCAAACAAATTATAAAATTTATCTAAAGTAATACATATACATTTTTATCTATTGAAGTCTCAAAGATTATAGATAAGTACAAGGTAGAATTATTTTGACAGATTTTAATTTATTATTAAAATAATTTAAGCAGAAAATATCTACAGTAGTAAAATATAAGTAAACACGTGTATACTGCTCTGCTGTACATTGGTGTCAAGTGGTTCACTTTAATAAGACGTGTGTTAAATTTGAATTCAGTAATAAGTATATCATTGTATACAAAAAACAATTCTGAGTGAAGGCGATCTGTAAATCTATACCTTATAAGAAATTTTCAATACTTATTAATAGAATGAAAAGTTTTTATGAATTTCCAACTACAAAATAGTTTGTAATTTTGACAAATTTTGTCGAAATTCTAAATTCAAATGCATAAAAATAAAAACTGTTACTATGTATTTTTAATATTCTTATACATATATAAGAGTATCTCGTGTGGAATCTTCTATTAAATATCTAAAAACTTCAACCCAATAAATAATTTTTAATCAACATTAAAAAAAAAAAATTGAAATTGTATTATATTTAAAAATAGTTTAAAAAGAGTCAAAATATTTTGAAAATATCATAAATATAAAAGTATAGTTAACATTTTGGTAAAAATTTCAAGTATCTACAAATATTTTTTCTCGAGTTACAACAAAAAAAAAAACAAAGCCAATTATGTCTAAAATTAAATTTGCATAAGAATGCATGTTTTACCTTATATTTTCCCCTAGACTTTTAAAAAAATAATTGGTAGGTAATTTTCAATTTTGACATATTTAAAATAGAAACTAGATCCAAATTCAATCTTTAAGTCAAAATTGAAACATTTTATTGTCTACTTATGGTGAACACAAACACAAAAAAAACACATATTATTGTAAAATCAATAGATTTATCGCTCCGCTCGGAATCTAAAATATAGTGAAATGGAAACTAAATACGACCAAAATAATAATAAGTTCTGATAAATAGCGATAAACTATTGATAAATGATTAATACACGTCTCATCTAAAATGTAAAATAAATATTTGATTCCCATTCTTATAGTAACTTAAATATATAGGTAATTAAGAAATAAAAAGACAAAGTTTGTGAACTTTTATAAAGAATAATTTAAAAAAAAAAAGAAATCTTAATTTAAAATCAAATGGATTAAAATTGCGTAAATCAATAAATAATAAAATTAGCTGGTTGCAACTTCCTTTCCTCACACCAACTAAAAAAAAAAATAAAAAAAAATACAAATTAATTGTTAAAGTTAGATACAAGATTTCCAAATTACTCAAAGACCAAAACACATGTATTATTCGACTGATATATTATGACATTTTAAAACTACTTTGGTCATATACACAAGATAGCATATTATCTTATTATATTTTTATAAAACACGCATAGTATTTTTATGACTATAAAATTGTAAAAATCAAATTATCGTATAAAACAATAGAATATTTACTGTAGACGAATAGTTCATTAATCTTATGAAAATGGACTACATAATTTTTAAAGTTTTTAAGTAACAATCTAAATATGCTGTTTATTACAAAAAACTCATACAATATGCGAATCAGTAAATTAGAGTTTATGTCATATGAGGTAAGGAGAAAGGTTGCTGAAATAATGTTTATTTATGACTTTTTAAACGATCATATTCATTCCCTTGAATTGCTTTCTATGATAGGGTTTAATATAACAAGTTGCCGTTTGAGAAAAGTAAACCATTTTATAGATATAGTTATAACTCCTCTATACTTTCTTCTCTAGATCATAAATATTAGCAAACAAAATTATGAATTATATACACTTTTTCTTTGAGTTAAAAAAATAATAAATACGTGTAACCTATGTAGGTACTATCATTGATTCAATTTATTATAAAATCAGTTCTACCACCTATATTGTAAGTTTAAACATCATGTTCAAAATAAAAAAAAAAGTATATATAATTAGAACATGTTGTCTTGTTGCGATAGTGCGAGTATATCGACGGTCACATAATAATTGAGTAGCTGGTATTTCAACCAGAGTACCTATATATAAATACGCATAACGATCTGCCCGGACATCAGCACATCGCGATAATAATAATATATTATCTATAGAAACGACCAAATGGTATATTATAGCATTACATTTCTACATGTATCTAAAGTATAAAGCTGAAGTACCATTTTACAACTCGAAATATAGACAATACAAATTACAGATTGACCCGCACCTTATAGAATGTTTGAAAATGTTAACATATCTTAGCTTGTACCCAACGATTAGGTATACTATATAGAGCAATGTTTCTCAACCATACTTCTGTGGCGACCCCTTTTTTAATTTCAATTTTTTAGCGACTCCCTAAATATATTTTTTTAATATACTAGCATAGATTATTATTAAAAAGCCATACGTTAGCGCCCCTAAATAATAAGTTGGTTAAAAAATAACCTTGAGAAACGCTGCTGTAGAGTATATACGTGAAGTTGAACACCCGACTATGTTCAATCGACTAATATTTTGCATAAGATTTTTTTGAATTTGCAATTATGATTTTAAAATATTGGCATATTATTCGTATTGATCTGACAATCGACGGAAGAAGAAAAATTTCACGGACACCTGCATTGTCACATTGGTTTTGATTTAAAGTGTTTTGGTTCGCCTATACTCAAAACTAAAATATTAAAATGTTTTTCAACGTGTATTACATTTAAGAACCTAGTCTGCTACAGTTTTATGTTCAGATTTTAAAAGTTCCTATTTAAGTTTGGTCGGTTATTATGGAGTTTCTTCAGATTTTCCGACAACTAGAAAACTTTGATACAATGAGTGGACGGACGTTAAAGACCGTGAAGTTGATTTTAATATAAACCGTGATCAAAAGAATAACTAAAAAAATATGCGGCTTTAGTGCACGTAGTATTTTTATTAAAATCGCTGCGCCTCTCCGAGTTAACATTATGCGTACTACCATATTTTTTGTAATGTTTATCCAACGTTCTCGAAAATCGAAAACATTAGCCAAGTAAAATTCGATACAAAATATCGATAACCAGCTGATTTTGTGCATTATCAACGAAATTTCCCGGCCAACGATGTGCTTTTATACCCAACCCAACCGATCGTTATGTCTTCGAACGTAATATTATATTGTCGTACGAATGTATATTACACCGTACGTGTTACGTATAATACTGTTAAATGCGTAATGTCGTCCATTTTACAAATCACAAGTCTCACGTGGCAACTTACTATAATAATTTATCATGCTGTGCTTTACAGATCACCCTACACGACGGCGGACGATAGCGTCTACGACGTTCAACGTAATAAGTACCGCGGCGAATGGCTCGCGGACAACGTTACGGGCACCGCGGCCAAGTCGTTGATGGGCGGCGGTTCGATCGAGTACCGCGTAAATCGCAAGAACCTGCGACTGAGAAACGGCCCGGACGACGATCGTAAACATTTGACACTGTCCGCGTACGCAGCCAACCGCATGGGCCGAGGCCCGCACACGTATTTCGGCAGCGACAACGTGATGCTGTTGAGGCATCCTTGGTGGTGGCGCGGCCAGTCAGCATACGAAAGCAGTACGAGGGCGAACGGTGGTCCGGCCGGCACTTCGTCGACCGGTACGTATGTGTGGTTTGTCTCGAGTCTAGTTCAAGGACGGCGGCATTTTTCTATGTCGTGCGTGTCGTCAACAAGACAAGTATTACCAACAATGCGCACAAGCTATTAATATGAGTAATTTATGTGGAGGTGGGCATATATTTTTACAGTCGAACCAAAAATCATCGTTTACCCCCCCCCCCTCCACCTCCGACCATCAAGTTTAAACTAAGATTCGTTGAATAGTGTAACACAGATTTTCTCGATCATCGTGCTTAAACTCGAATTTAATTTAAAATTCTTAGCGGAGCGATGAATGTATAGAATATAGACATTACGGCGATGAGTGTTTTTTTTCTTTTTGTGTGCGTGTAACAATACACAATATAAGTTATCGATAAAGTGCTTTGATTTTCAACTTTGAGGGTGGTTTTGGATAGAAAATTATATCTAGTTTGTAGTTTAAACAGGCCAAACTTAAAAATTCCCAACATTTTATATATATATATATTATAATCGAGAAAAACCAACAAAAAACAATAATTTTTATGCTAAAACAGATTTTGACTCAATCGATTGATTTCTTTCATTATAAATCAAAAACGAATAACCACAAAAAATTAACATGCATTTTTACCGAATATTTATACTGTCATTTTTTTATAATATATGGTATAGTTTTCAAAATATTTTAAATTCTTAAACCATTTATGGACAATTGAATTTTTCGACTTTTCTGTGGATATCAATAAAAATGCTTAAAAATTTAATACAAAGTTCCTTTTAAGTGGATCATTTACCAAAAATATGTAATAAAAAGTTTTATTTATACCTAAGATTTAAAAATTGAATGAAAGTTTTTTTATAATTTTTTAACCTACTAAAAAAAACAATTTCTACCGGAAAGTCAAATTAATTTTTTGTGAGCATTTGAAGTTCAAATTTTTACAACACAGGATATTTACCTATGTAATAATTATTTCTATCTAAACGATTTTCGTTTTTTTTTTTTTTTGTAATTCAAAACCGATTAACTATAGATACCTGAAATTTTACATTATATTTATACAACTATTTTTATTATATTTCAACTCTTTTTGAACTATTTATAGACATGTTAATACTTTTTCTATAAACGTTGATTAAAAACAATTTAATTTAAAAATTTTAAAAATTTTATACGAGATTGCACATAAATTCTTATAATTGTATAAAAATATTAAAAATATAAATGCCTAATTTTTTTATAATATGCATTTTTGGAGTTAGAATTTCGACGAAATTCATCCAAATCATAAAAACTTTTCAGCCATTTTGTATTAAAAAATTCATAAGAACTACTCTAATTATATATCTAAGTTTTGAAAATTGAATACAAGATTCCTCATAAGTTTTTCATACTGAAGCCATAAAATCTAAAAAATATATTTTTTATAGAAATTTTATATTTAAAAATGGACGAAATTACTTATTTAAACGATAAATAATAATAAAAATTATTTTATTATAATTTAAAAATATTATTCATGGAAACTCAAAATGTTAACATATATTATATAATCATGAATTTCACTATACGCAATTATATTTTTGGTTTATTTGAAGATACCCGTAGTATTTATTTATACTATGAATCATTTTTGCTTTTTTACGATATTTATAGAAAGATAAAATCAAATTTAAAGTTATATTAATATTTATAGTATGGTATAAATATATATATTATTATAATAATTAAATACTACATTATTCAAGAAAAATTGTATTAACCTACCGGTCTTACCATAAAACTAAAAGTAAAATAAATAACTTTAATAGCAATATTAACAAAACTTATCATAAAATATATTTAGTGATATAAGCTGACAGACCGTTTCCGTTCAAAATCGTTTTTCGTATACAACAATATATCATTGAATTCAAATTTAATACACCTATAATAGCGACCCATTCAACATCTAAAACGGTATTTAATTGCCTACATTTTTATTTGCAATTTTTCATTTTTCATTAAAATATTTATATCATTTATGATAAGTTTACTTTCTTCACTTATAATTAGTACCAATATGATATATTTTCAAAAAATTTTCCATTTTACAAAACTTTGAGGATTGCTCCATATCTTAGTCTTTTTATGTATAAATTTATTATTGGTAAATTATTTGTGAGATAGACGTGTGTGGCGGCTCATATGGTGGTTCACAGAAGGCGGAACACAAATAGTTTATCCCATCATATCATAACTATTATGATAAAATAAATGTTTGTTATGCAATGTGCATTACTGCATTATTGCGGGCAGTAGAAATACAAAAATGTAGAACTTTAACACAATTCGTTTATGTTCCGTATCGCCATATAATTGGTGCTGTCAAGTGCGGACAATTGTTATTTGTTTACAATAAACACGTAGACGGCATGCCGTTACATGCCGATAGTTTAATCTCTGTAAACTTAAACGAATAAACAATCGATTTAATATACAACTTATCGACTATCTGAAACTCGGTCTTTATCCAATAAAATTTGTTTTCTCGATAATTGTCAGTTCGGTCAACTATACGTCAGACAAAACATTTTTTTTTTCATTTAATTTGAATTCTCTACAAATAATTTTATTTTTATTCAATATTTTGGATAAAACAAATTCATAAGAACTATAGCTTAAGCAGAAGTGTGTCTAGAGGTAAGCGATTCTCGAGGATATAATGCGATGGAAACGTGTAGAACCCACAAAAATCAAACGGAATTTACGGAAACGAATTATACTTTATATTATAAGGCTAAATTTAATAATCATATATTTAATTTAAATAAATAAGTTTTTTGCGAACGGGTTTTCTCGTACAATGATATATTATTGAATACAAATGCAATACATTAATTCTACCTATTTCGTAATCTACTCAATAACGAGGTACACTTGAAACGTAACATACAGTACTGTGATTCTCTTATATTTTTAATTGTCAAAATACAATCATAAAATTATTAAAAAAAGTTTATTTTAACAAAAAATTAACTAAATGAGACCATGGAAATATAGGGGCAAAGTGCTAAATTTGTGGGTATAGATCTAATTGTGCGCAAATATTATTATAGTAACTAATGAACGAAATATTGTTTTATACCTATATAGGTAATTCAATCATTTTTTAATTTGACACGAGAAGCGAATAATGCTCCCTACCCCACTCTACAGGAGCACCGCTCATTTTTCTCCCAAAAATGAACTATATTATATATTATATAGGTATCAAATTAAAAATACTACTAGAAGCTATAATATAAATAAAGTGCATAACACTCAAAATTGCAGTTATTATCGTGAGTAAATATTATGATATCGCGTTATGTCTGCAGAATGGTGGATAATGTTGAGCGGGGGCGGCGACAACGACGGTCGGCGGAGCAACGCGTCGAATGGCCACGGCAAAAGCACCACAGCGATGAGCATCATAGCGTTCGTTTCGGTAGCGGTGATTTCGGCGATAGTCATCGCGGTGGCATTCCTGTTGTGGAGACGGCGGCAGAGCGACGGCAGATCGCCGACGATAGTAGAAACCGCGGCGATTGCGTCCAACGACCTGGCGGCGTGCGGCGACAAGACCGGCGAAAAATATTCGCTGCTCTCCCGGCGACCGCAGCAGCAGCAACAGCAACAGCAACAGCGAAGCGTCTACCCAAATTTGACCGAGTCGCACTGCGATCGGGATCCCTGCGATTCCGCAGATTCCGCGCCCGACATAACGATCCAACAGAGCTACGGCAAACAGTTTTTAGTGTCGATCGTGAACCGCGGCATTCCTGGCCCCGAGAGTTGTGTGTGAACGACGACCTGGTGTTCACATCACATGATTATTAACCAACTACCTTGTTACCTTGTCAACTACCTATCCATATAATATAATATACAGTTATACACGCACAATAATAATAATATAATAATAATTTATTATTATTATTATTATCTACGTTGAGTCTATGGTATAATATGTGTGATACCTACTCTATTTAATAATATTATATCGTATGTTTACGTTAAACACACAATTTTTCACCCCATCCCCAGCTCAGGTCCTGGCCGAAAACAGCAAATCACATACATTATTATACCATATTATCCCATTATATCATGGAACTGCGTATTTGTGACTATGATCATTACATAATTATAATATTTGAATGTTAAAAAAAAACTACAATCGTCAAAAACACCAACTATGATACAAGACCGATGATTTTATGGCCGTTCGTCTCTTCCTTTTTAAATTATACAATAATTTTTTGAGTTTTTTTTTTTTCAATAACATTAATGTCGATGTGTTATTATTTAATAACCAATAACATTTAGGAATTACATTCAATCAGTTTTTATAATAGTGGAAACATAACAATTAATAACCACTTAATTAAAACAAATTGATTACATTGTACTTATAATTAATTTAACTCATTTTTATTATAATAACCATAAATCATTCATTAAAATATAAATTAAAAATAACAATAATTGTTTAAAAATTAAAATAAGCTATAATAATATGCTATAAAATATCCTTGAAATAAATATAATTATAGCATTTTCTATAATAACTCTAACCAATTAACACGTTGAAATTTCATATAACCATGGTATCTATTCGTATGTGCAATTTGGAAGGTATTAGCTCCTCCCTCCCACACACACACATTACAACTCATGTTGTCACCCAAAAATCCTTAGACAAAAAAAAACCATAGATTATATAATTTATTGAACACATATTTTTAAAATATAAATATGTAACATAAATTTTTTTATCAACATTACTAAAATCATAGTAACTACAACCACTGCTATTGTTAATCAAACATATTGTGGTTACCTATAAGTTATTTATTTTATATTTATACTTATCGTTAAAAATGTATAAAATGAGATAATATCATCTGTTTAAGGTTTGAATTTAGCTAGTACTATGCTCTTTTCGTTACTCGTTAATTGTTTGATATTTTAATATATTATGTTGTTGATGAGTATGTAGAGTATACAATTTGTATTCATATTGTATAGTGTATACATACAAAGGCAGGACAATAACTAAAAACCTCTTACTCCTCAAGTTATACTCGTTTAATGATTTTATCAATAAATTGCGATGTAAAAATCTAGTAAGACTTTACAATTATTTAAAGTAAGCTAAAGGGAAATGTGTGTGATCTCACCTGGCATAAATTTGTTAAGCTTTCTATGAGAAGAATTTAAATTGCATTTATATACCTACTGTACTTTTCGTAATAAAATAATAATCTATTATTATGGTTACCATGTTTTCCATGTCCTTTAAGCATTGGAATGCAGTCATATTGTTATAATTTTTTTTTTTTTTTTATCAATATTATTAAAATGTATTATTTATAAGCTTTATGGTAAGTAATCAGTTTTATTTTAAATAAATATATATTAAGTAATATTAAACATCAATATTATATGTGTGTGTGTGTGTGTCAAAATTGTGAATGTTAAATTTATAATATTGAGTGTTCCATCAATTATTTTATTAATTGTATTTTAATCATAGGTCAAATAAATGAAAATTAATTTTTAATAAATCAGTTCTAATATAAATATACCTACATATTTATATCAGCTATTGCTCTTTGTAATATGTATTAATATAATATCTAATTAAATTCGAATAATTAATTAAAACTAGGTAGATAACTAAAACAGAAAATTAGTCAATCTCATAAGTTTAAAGTTGATATGTATTAATAAAATTAAAAATATATGTCAAACGAAAAGTTTGCTTATTTCAGAATATTGTTTTTAACTAAATACTAATAAACATTTTAAAACTGTACTATATTAATTTTTCCCTTACTTTATACTTATCAAACCGATTACATTATGAATCTAACGTTAAATACTTTGTTGTTTCATAAATATACTAACTATAATATACAGCCATTATATTATTACCGGTTACTTTAATATACACAGTTAAAGCCTTTAAAATAGGTATCTATTTTAAAAATCTTCTATAAGAAGCGGCAAAATTTAGTTGAGTCAATTTTTTATACTGTAGTCTGTAGGTAGGTATTATTAAAATCAATAATAATGATGGAACACCTCTTACACTATGTTACAGAATAATAATATGCTACTTTGCGTGTACACTTATGTAAATGCAGCTGTATCTATAGGCTATAAAATAGGTATTATGAACATTTTATATTCTAAAAAGAATTTTCCGAAAATCCTATTTGTACGTAAGCTATTAAATTTGTGCATTATTTTAATATACAAGTGTAAAGTTGACATACGATTACGTTAAAAACATTAATACTTTGACATACTTACAAGTAGGCTACTATTACGACGAACAGCGACTTATATTGTAAAACATCATGTTGACTAATATTGTAATTATTTAGGCATAGATTACAAATATCAATTCGTTAATATTATTGTTATACAATTAAACTATATTACTATAGATAACAAAATTATTATGTATACCAAACCCGTAGTGTTAGTAAAATGTATTAAATCAAAATTATTATTATTTATTAAAACAAAATTATAAGAACTTGTGTGTATTTGTATTTATTATTTAAAAAAAAAAATACGATTACATAGGTAATAAAATTGTAGATTATCTAATAGATATTAGACGCTGTGCATAAACAATTAAATTAATATCCATTACAATGCGAAATTAAGTATTGAATCCATTGTCATAACGATTTTTTCACAGTGAATTGATTCAATATAATCACACCAAGATTTTACTGTCACCGTTAACACTTAATCTTGCTGCGTTAAATGTGAGGTGGTTCAAGGGATTGCACAAAACACCAATTCAATAACGCCAAAAGTGCATAAAACGTGTGATCACATACCGCCTCATATAAAACATAACACGATCAAATACAATAACTGTTCCACCCCTACCTTCGTATTAAGACCACAAAATTACTTCACTCCTAATCGGACTGGTTATACAATCTCTCTATTGAAAAAAATTTATATCTATCGTTAGCTCACTTCTACTATTGTTAACAACATTATATTAAATAAAAGCATCACAGTCTACTATGTCCAATAAAATGTCCATTCTATAATTGTTAAATGATAAAAATAGTTAATAATAGCTTTAATTATAACTGTATTGACTTGCCGTGATTATTATTGACAACTTTTCGTGTTCTAGAATAATATTTCATGTATGCTTTAATTATCCATATATATATTTATAAGAAACAGCCTTTTTTTATGTTCCCGTTTTGTAACGACACTATTTAACATTTTTCCAATTTTTTTTCACAGAGTTCAAAATACCTTCCTGGGTGTCACCACGTCGTCTGATTTTCATTTTCTTTCCCTGAGGGGAGGGGAAGGGGGATCTCATTTCATTGCTGCAATCATAATCGTTAGGTTCATCAACGTGCGTTTATCTATACTGTTGTTAAAAAGTATTTTCATTTAGGTACTACGCAAAACGATTTAGACATTGCAAAAATACAAACATCGTTTATCCCGTACAATGTAATATGTCGTGTTAATGTGTAACAAGTCGAATTCTGTTGGATTACTGGACCGGTCGTAGCCGCTTTTGACGCGGACGTTTCCATACACTTTCATGTTGAGCAAACCTTTGCGATACGCGCTCAGGTGTTATTGACGTCGTCGGGTGACCGGCGAACAGCTGGTGTTCGTTCGACGGCTGTGGGCGGTCAGTCGACGGCTGTGACGGCGGACGCGACCACGGTGAACGGCCCGGGCGCGTAGGACTAGACTATGAATGATTGTACACACCGTTCCGCGGTGGCCACGACCGAAAACTGTGGCCGGGTGCACGTCGAACAGTGTAAATCGATTCGACGACCACAGGTTGGCCGTCTCCGATGTGGTCGCTCGCCCCCGCAGCCGCGAACAGCTAGCGCAACTGCGCTCAGCCCGTGACCACACGGATCGCGAGCCGTCCGTGTAGGTACACTTCCGAGTAGGTACTCCGCGCCTTCCGATTACAACTGCCACACGTCTTCCGGCGTGCTGTACAACGTTGTGATATACCTTCCGGTCACTTCGTGGCCGACAATCACGTCGCGGTCGTCGCTGCGCTGTACACTTCGGGCCCGCCACTGCCGACGCTGTTGTTCACTCACATCTCTCGTTTGACGTAATTTTTCTTCGTAGGTACTCACTTGCTTTGTGCCTTATCGAATTTCATCGGTTCCTCTTCAGCCGACTTGTGTTTTTTCGCAGCTTTTTTCTGCTTCCGGGTGCCCCTTGTGCAACATCCTATTAAAAGTTTTAAAGAACTAGCTTAAATTCTTCAAAGTTTTATATTTTGGAATAGCTGAAATTTTGAACTGCACTAAGTTATAAGCTAAATTATACGAATTATAGTTACAATAATAGAATCATATTTTAATAATAATATGTGTAGATGTGTAGAATCATATGTAAATATTATTATTATCGTTATTTATTTATTTTTTTTTTAATTTTTTTTTTTGTTTTATTTATAATTCAGTTACTACTACTATTTAGTACTTGATAAAATTAAGTAAAATTTTTGGAAAACACACACTACACACGGGCGAAGCCAGGTAATTCAGCTAGTTCTATATAAATTTCTGTTTATATAAGTAGGTATCTAATTGTTATCATTTTTCAAAAATCGTAAAGAAAACAAAAATAATTGTCTTTACTGTTGTTATTTTTATACACTTACCTACACCTACAGTAGCATTACCACATGAATACTAAATGATGCATAAGCCTATTATAAAGAACAATTGATTTAAAATTACCACCCCAAGTTTCCGAATTCAAACCACAAATTACCTATACGTAAAAAAGAATAGGTACACGCTGCTGTATAGGTGAGGCTATTTTATCAGTATGATGACTAATAGAGCTAAATCAATCTATCTATTATCTATGTAATATGATAACATTGATAATTATTATAATTT